CATAATTTAGGGGTCAGCGGAAATAAAGAAAGAAAAGATGTTTGAAGAAATGGGGGCAATATATACGAGAAAATATATTGTTGTGCATTGTGTTGAAGTATATATGCCCTAGAAATTTATTTATTTTTGATTTACTTTTCGAAAAAAATAAAGGGAAAAAATGAAGTAAATTAATTGATAATGTAGGGGGAATCAGCAGAAAAAAAGGAGAAGGCCTTGAATTAATTAAACTGTGGCAATGAAGAAAACGAAAATAGAGAAAATCTAAACAAATACAAATTTTACAAAATAATTAAGTATGGTTGTGACCAGTGCTGGGTATTTGCCATTTGTTGGCTCCGGTTCCACCGGAGCCGGCTCCAGAGCTAGCTTCCGGAGTCATACCCAGCACTGGTTGTGACTTTGCTTAAATTTTGATAAAATGTGTCAATTTAGAAAGTATTTCCTTTAATAATTTTTTTCTAGTTTTTAAAGGCTCCCGGACAATCCGTCAGTGGACAATCCGGCAGTGGAAAATCCGTCAGTGGACAATCCGTCAGTAGCCGGACAATCCGTTAGTGGACAATCCGTCAGTAAATAAATTTGTAATTCCAATCCATACCCAAAATATCGGGGCCAAAATTTTTGATTTTATCGTGTGGTGGATCATAAGGGATATCGAAAATTTAGAGATTAGTAAGGAAATCGGCAGATTTGTTGGATTAAAAGGATATCATTGGATTTGAAAGATATTGGGCAATTTGGTCAATTAAGCGAAAGGATATACATAGGTGATTTGGATGGATTATATTCACATGATTAACGTATGGGATTATATTGGATTTAGATGAATATCGTGGGTATTGTGGAAAATCGATGAATAACATAGATTGTTTTTAGATGGATATCATGGAACAACTTCCAAATCCATTCAATCCGCCTATATCCCTTGATATGCCACTTAATACTCGAGATCCATCTTAATCTCCCAAATTCCTCGAGAAATACCATAATACTACAAATCTTTTATTTTCCTCCTAATTACACAATATCTTTGAAATCCCCAATATCTTTCAAATCCACTGATATCCTTTTAATCCACCTAAATCTGACGATTTCCTAATTAATATCCAAATTCTTAATATCTTTTATAATCCCCCACGCGAAAAAAATAAAAATTTTTGGCAGAGGTAGTTTGGGTAGGGTAAAAATTACAAATTTGTTCACTGACGGATTGTCCACTGACAGATTGTCCGACCACTGACGGATAGTCCACTGACTGATTTTCCACTGCCGGATTGTCCACTGACGGATTGTCCGGTCACGTTTTTAAAAAGGGTTGACAAATTGAAAAGAAAAAAAAGATTGAATTGATTTAAAATATATATTCTCTTTTCTAAATAAATTATCAATTTTCCCTAAATAAAATCAATTTCATCATTTTAAACTTTTTTTTGTTTAAATAATTTATAAATGCAAATTAAATTTAGAAGAGAATCCCTTCTTAGTTTTTATTCAAAATTAACCAAGATTTGGGCTTCCGATAAGAAAAAGGAGAAAAAAGGAATAAATAAATTAGTAAAAGGCTGAAAATATAAATTTAAATATAAGAAAGGCCATTTAATGAAAAATAATCCTACTAATATAAACAATACAAAAAAGAATTAATATTTAAAAAGTGCCAAAGTAAAAAATCAAATTTTAAAAATTAATTTAAGCTAAAAATTATTCGAAATTGGAGAATAAAAAGGAATATTTCAAAGAAATTGTAGTATATAATTTTGGAACAATTAATTGGATATTCTCGTGTCAAATTATTAAAATTGCAAAATAAATTCCAAAAAATAATTTAAAAGAATTTAATTTACAGGCCAAACAATTAAAAGTAGAACCGGTTACCCTATCAAAAAGTAAAGCATAACTTTGGTTGTTTGTTAAAGGTAAAATGAAGCGTGACAAGTTTGGAAAATAAAAGAAAAAATAAATATTTATATAAGATTTTTAAAAAAGATATTAAAAAAAGAAGACTCTACTGATAAGCTAAAGGAGCCATCAAATAAAGAAAAATACTTGAGATTCAATATGTAACATTTATCAAACCTATTACCAATTTTTGGGTTTTTCGGGCTTAGCCCAGACTAAAATCGTTAAAGCGGTTAAAAAAAGTTTCAGTTCATTTGCATTCCCACTCAAAGAAATTTTTTGTCTTAAAAATTCTAAAAAATGAAATGACACCCTTATCTTTCAGTATGGCCTTAAAAAGAATTTTTTAAATAATATAGGAATGGTTAGGGGTTCAACTAAATTTCTAGAAAATCAATTAACGTTTTTAAAACAATTATCAATTTTTTAAAATAAAAAAACTAACCATCCAATAGGCAAATAAACTTGTTTATTCATAAAAACAGAGCCAGAAAGCAAAATATACCAGCAAGTAGCTAACTGCCCTTTTCTTAAAAAAGAAACTAATTAAAAAAATAAAATTAAAAAAACCTAAACAAAACATAATTAGCAGAATGTCTTTCAAGTCTAGCTGTTTTACATACTGATTTCAATGGGGCATCATGTAATCTTTCAAAAACTTCTAATCGTCGAAGATGATTAAATATTGTGTTAATTTCCTTAAAAAATAAAAAAAAATTAATTTTGATAAGGAAGGAGATGTCTTAAATTCTTTAAAATATTTTAAAAAATTGTTTTAAGGGATTTTATGTTATTTTGGTTATAAACAGAAAATTATTTATTTTTAGTCAAAAATCAATTGAATACTCATCTATAAATTGATTAAAAAAGGAGAAAAACTAAAATCAGAAAAGACGGCTAATAGCAAGAAAAAGTGTCTAAAAAGGTCTCTGATTCAGAATAAAAATACACTCCAAACTTTTTTCTAAATTAAAAATATTTCTGTCCAAAAATTTACACGAGACTTAAATTAATACACAACCCAGGGATGTCACGGGTTACCCGAAACCCGATACCCGAAACCCGGCCTTTTTTCGACCCGATACCCGAAACCCGATCCGATAAATTTTCTAAAACCCGACCCGAGAATTTTTATTTTTCAAAACCCGACCCGACCCGAGTTTTTTCAAAATTTTCGCCCGCGTCGCAGAAAAAGGGAAGATTTTTAGCTTAATGATCCTCCAAAATTCTGAAAATTTTCGCCTGCGGCGCTGAAAAAGAGAAGATTTTTAGCTTAATGACCTCCAAAATTCTGAAAATTTTCGCCTGCGGCGCTGAAAAAGGGACTTTTTTTCGACCCGAAACCCGATCCGAAGAAAATTTTGAAAACCCGATCCGAAACCCGACCCGACTTTTTGCTCAACCCGAAACCCGATCCGAGAAAAATTTTGGAAACCCGACCCGAAACCCGACCCGACATTTTTCTCAACCCGTGACATCCCTGACACAACCCCGCTTAATAATTGAAAAAGAATCTCCTATTAAAATCCCAAAAAAATATTAAAAAACTATAAACCTCTTCATTCCTTTCATTAGGTCTCTTAATTAAAGCATTGTAGAAGGCAGAAGAATTCATTTCTCCACAAAATTTTCCTTCCAAAAATTATTTTTTCATTTAAATTTCTTCCAAAAATTACTTTAAATAATCTAAATTAAAAATAAATAAATATTTTTAGTAGTTTAAATAAAAACAGGTTTGTTAGGAAAAAACAAAAAAAAAGAAAAATTATTTTTGTTAATCAGACGGGAAAGAATGACGTTAATTAATTTATATAAGGTGGAAATAAAAAGAAAATAGAGATCAATAAAAAGAATTATTTCTTTTAAAAGTAATTTTACAAAGTTGATTTATGGATTAAAATTAAAAATATAAATTTAATAAATTAATTCTTGACATTTTGAGACTTTTACATTTTGAAAAATATTTGTGAATTGGCATTCTGAAATATTAAAAAAAATTTTTTTTGAAAAAATTTCATTTGGTGATTTTCCCGGAATTACATGATTTGTGATAGATTAAGTTACTTTGACTGATTACGTGGTGAAGATTATGGGACACGCCCAAGTTGGCGCGTGGCCATAACAACGCAAAGCCATAACTTGCTAGAAAATTTCTGGCCCTTATCAATTTTGCTACCAATCTCTCTAGCTCGATGAGAGGAACCGTTTAATACTGTATTTGATAAGATTCGGAAATCTTGAAGCAAGTTATGGCTTTTTGCCGTTATGGCTGCGTGCCTACTTGGGAATTTTACCCGAAAATTATCTTTGGAAGTCCCCAAAATTTATGTGTTTTCGTGAATTGTCCACTATTTATTATAAAAATTCATTGTTTAGTTACTAAAAATGAAAAAATTGTGTGATTAAGCTTTAGAGATCATTTCGAATTTACTCACGTCTTTTGCAATCACTTTGCAGTAAAATGATGTGAAGAAATGATCAGGTTCTTCTTTTTTTGCACCTTTAGGCTTTACTTAATTCCTTTTTTTCTTTTCTCTTTCCAAAAATTACTATGTACATTTTGTGAAGAAAAAATGGGGGGCTGACGTTTAGTGGCATTTCATGCAGGAGAAAAGAAGCTTTACTTTCATTGATTTAAAAGTAAAAGACTAACCAAAAAAAAGTATATACTAGTCATCCCTTTCCTCTTTTAAAAGGTGCTTTTAGATGGATGACATTGGGGAGATTTTTTTTAAATAAATGGAGGGTTTTTGAGTCATGGACAGAATAAATTATATTGAAGATTATTGTAAATATATGTCTGTATCTTTGAGGTCTAAAATAATAGAATGATAGATAAAAGAAAAAATGTTATTATGTGATAAAAAAAATAAAAATTCACACACAAATGCAATTTGTCAGACAATTTCGGTGAATTGTCCATTCTGTAAAACACACCCTAGTATTCATGAGAATTTGCCTCAATTAGTATTGAAATTTTATCTTTTTTAACTAATAAAGGATTTTATACATTAAGCGCATCTTCTTCTCTTTTCTTCAATTTTTGCCATAAACAGACCGGAAGTGCTAAGCTTTCTTTAATAAAAAAACAAAAATATTTTTTTCTTCACTTTTATTTAAAAATCTTTCTTTACTATTTTTGTTGGTTGGCCAAAAAACGTGTTATATTTTATTTTATTTATTTTCTCTACCTTTCCCTTCAAGTTTATTTCCCATTATTTGCTAAAGAGAGAACTTGCGCCAACCGCACAAACAATTCAATAATATTTCCGTTTTTAAAATTTCGATTGAAATTTCCCTCTCTTCTATTTTAAAGTTACAGGCAAACGTCAATACTTTTTAAATTCCTCTTTTAAATCCTTCTAAATTTTTTTAAAAATGTCAAATACTACTAAAGAACAACAAAAACAACGTAGAAAAACAATTCCTTTAAGACCTGAAAATGCAAATCCAAATTATTTAACTTTAATTAAAGGTTTTGTTGGAAAGGAATTGTCTAAAATGGCATTACCGGTTAGTAGGGATTTAAATAAAAATAAAAGAAATTTGGGACTAGAACCTTGTTTTTTTATGTTAGTCCGCTCTTAAGCTTCAAAATTTATTTAGCTTTTATTGAAGGACTTTAAGCTGTTTGTGTTTCAAAAAATAATAAGTAAAGGAATTCAAGGAAAGTTAACACAAAAATAATTTTTGAACAGACCTGACCTCTATGAATGTTATTCTTGGTGAGCTATTGGTTGTACAAACTTTTTTACCCGAAAAAATCGCCCCTATGGTTCTTCAATTTTCAGTGGCCTGTATTTTTTCGATCATTTCGAGCCCTATTTCTCAATCCACAGCATCTCCGGAAAATGAGACATTTTTAGCATTAATTTAGGGGGAGGTGGCATAACGGAAAAGTACCAATATTCTTGAGGATAATTGACAAAAGTCGACTAAAAGAAAATATTTTTTTGTTTAAAGGTAGAATTTAACGAGCCACTTTCAATGCTTCAACGCCAAACAGAAGAATTAGAATATTCTTATTTATTAGATTTAGCCTCAAAAAAAAAAGATTTATTTAAACAAATGTCCTTAATTTGTGTTTTTGTAATTTCTGGTTATTCTACAATTTCTTTACGTTCAACAAAACCATTTAATCCTTTAATTGGGGAAACTTTTGAATGTGATAGAAGAGAAGATAAAGGGTGGAGGTCTATTGCTGAACAAGTGTGCTTTAAAATTTTTTATGAAATTTTTGGAAATACTTTGAGAAAGATACTCTCAAAATTTTTTATAAAATTAAAATTTTGTAATCTTAAAATCTCTAAGAGAATGTTAATTTGGAAAAATTAAATTTCCGGCATTCAGTTAAAGATTTATATATCAGTATGCCCCCTTTATTTAACATAAAATGGTGTTGGATAACACATCAGTCCGGTCTACTGAAGATATTGGTTCGCTCCCAGCCGCCGAACAACTCTCCTGTTTGCCTATAAAATTTCCTCAAAAAATATTTTTCTTTTATAACAAATTTTATTAAATTCATTCCCCCAACAGATTTCTCATCACCCACCAGGATCTGCACTTTATGTAGAAAGCAATTCCTGGTCATTACAACAAAGTTATATTTTAGAATCGAAATTAAAGGGTACAAATATTTGCCTTAAACCTTGTGGACAAACTTTAATTAAATTTAAAGATGGAAATACTTTTAGTTATGGAAAGGTACTTTTAAATATTTTCCTGAATCCCTTCTATCATTTTTAGCTTTCAACTTCCACAAGTTTGGATTCAATAATGAATAACGGAAATTCTAAAAAGAATGGAAATTCTTTGAATGAAAATAAAGTGGAAATTATTGGCCAATTAATTATTACAGGCTCTAAAGCTAAAGCTGTTTTAACGTTTTTTGGTGATTGTAAAAAATCGGAACAATATTCTAAAAAATATGTAAGAAGAAATTTTGCTTAAATTTAGGAATTAAAGATTTTTTAACCTAAGTTGAAAGCCTAACTTTTTCTGATCTACTATTTATCACGAAATATGAATAGGGATTGATATCTGAATATTCTTGTTTAATGTAATAATTTTAGCATTACTTTATATAAAGTCATGAAAAAATATTTTAATAAATTTTTAAAAATTAAAAAATATTCTTTTAGGTAACTGGAAAGGTTTTTGACAATGAAAATATTGAAAGGTATAAGATAGAAGCACAATGGGATAAATGGGCAAAAATTTTTAAAATTGGAGAAGAATCAGAATTTGAAGAAATTGTGTGGAATTCGACAGAATTACCGTAAATTCCAAAATAAAATTCTAAAAAATTATTTTTTCCAAAAAAGTCCAAATTCCAATAAAATGCATAATTTTACACAATTTGCTATTGAATTAAATGAAGAAGAAATGGGTATTGCACCGACAGATTCGAGAAGAAGACCTGACCAAAGATTGTGTGAACTTGGAGAGTTTGGGGCTGCTAATCGTTTAAAAAAATGCTTAGAACAGGCACAAAGGGAAAGAATTAAAGAAAAGGGGAAAGGTAAGAGAGAGAATTTTTAAGAAATAATTATTGAAGACAAAGAAAGGGGGCTTTCAAAGTTTTATAGAAAATTTTAAATGGATTTCCACCCCCTATCTTATCTCGACTGGAGTAAGAGTAATCTAAAAATAAGCGGCAAATCTGACATTTATATATTCTAACTTTCTCAATAATCTTTAAGTAGACAAAAAAAAGCTCTTAAAATTTTTGAATAAATTCCCCCTCTCTTTTAATTTAAAGATTATCAACCAAAATGGTTTGTATTGTTAAACGGACTATCAAAAGAACAACAACTACCATTTTATAAATTTACGGGTGAATATTGGAAGGCAAAAGAAACACAAAAATGGGATAATTGTCCTGAACTGTTTGCTGTCTAATTTTATATATATATTAAATTCTTTCACATATTTTTAATTTAAAAATAAATTTTGGATTTATTTATTTCATTTTTTCGTACCATTTTAAAGCTTAATTTGTCAATCAATCTACTATTTACATTCTGCAACCAGGCTGAATATAGTAAAGAAATAGTATTTAGCTTTATTATAAACTCTCGCGTTGGACTATTCCCCGACAATAAACTCAAAGGATTAATCTTATCGTATATATGGCAGAGTAAATATATGCAAGCTGGCGATGTATGAGTGGGAGACCTATGACTGATGGTTATGTTTAAGGCGTATTGCCTTAGTCGTTTTATTTCGTAATCAAGGTCGAGATTTCGTGAATGTTTAGTTTGCGAAAATTGCGGGTATACTTTGTTATATCTTATGATGGTCACTCGTCGCTATCGCATCAACCTTTTTGGTAATATTGTTCCTTATAGACCCCATTTTTTCCTCTCCGTTTTTTTCCTAAATATGTATGGAATGGTCAGACTTTGTTTCTTTTTTCCATTCCAACTGCCTTAAGTTGTTCCATTTTTTAATTAAGAAAATGAGTCTTGTCATAAATCATACATGTTCTGTACTAACTAGGGAAGGTTTCGAGGTGTCCGAGCTAAAAACGGTCGAGATCGGGCTCATTCAATAGAAAATGTGCCCTTTCTAGCAAGAATTTTGAGCCGTTCTTGCCCGTTTTTTGATTTGCCAAGATATGGCCTTCCAAAGTTTTGGATTTCTTTATTTCATTTTTTCGTACCATTTTTAAGCTTAATTTGTCAATCAATTACTACTACATCAACAATTATTTCGTAAAATTAGATAAAAATATAATAGTCTCGCAGATGTTTATTTAGCTGTTAAATAATTTTCTTATTAAAAAAGAGACTAACAGAATGGTCCATTTTATATAGTTTTTTTTTATATTTTTAGTGGCTTGTAAAAAATTCTTCAGCTTTTTGGTATATTTCATTCAGCCGAGTGTTTTGTTGGCCATTTTATTGATATTTTATTTGAAAAAAGTAAAAAAATACTTGTCTCTTTACAAAGTAGTTGTTTTTTTCTCTCGTTTTGCCCGTCCATTCCCTCATTCTCCCTTTTTTTTACAAAATCTGTCAATATTTTAGTCAATTCGTCATTCCAATTTACTACCAGTGTTTTTTAATGTACAGGGTGTTTCAACTAAGAAATACTATTTGAAAATTCAATAACTTTTTACTAAGTTGACAGATTTTTTAGATATTTGGTATTTAATATCTATATTTTCTAGCATTTTTTTTGACATAAAAATTATGTCTAAATTCGAACCCTAACCCGAGATAATTTCGTACTCTACCGTTCTGTTTTTCCCTTTTTCCGCACATGCATTCTTACTCCCTTTTGTTTTTTTTGAGCAGCGATAGACACTAGAGTAAACACTAGGCGATAGACACTGCATTTTCAATACAGTATCTTCTCTTCGCCATACGCAGGAAAATAAATGAAGTAAGATAGCCCACAATGAAAAGAGGGAAAAAAGAGAACGGTAGAGTACGAAATTGAAACGAAATTGAAATACAGGGTTAGGGTTCGAATTTCGACATAATTTTTATGTCAAAAAAATTCTCATAAATTATAGATATAAAATACCAAAAATCATTAAAATCCGTCAAGATAGTAAAAAGTTATTAATTTTTAAAATAGTGCTTTTTAGTTGGGACACCCTGTATAAAAAATTTTTTCATGTCCACCTTCCCTCTCTTTGTTTACTAATCACGCGAAGAACGTTGTGCTTTTATTTGGGCGGGTTTAAATTATTTTTGATATTAAAGAGAGGACTGATAAATATTTATATAAATATGTATATTTTTTATATTTTCTGTACATAAATACTCAAAGAAATTTTCTAATCTAATCAGTCTTTCATTTAAAAAGACTAAATAATTTTTTACATTATTTTTAAATTTGTTAAAAAATTTTTTGAATTAATTTTTCTTAATTTTAGATTTTTATTTGACTACTTTTAAATTTCCTTATACGAAAATATGGCATGTGAATGTGGTGAGTTTTTAATTTAATTCTCATAATTTTTTAAAATTTATTTCTAGATTGTTGCAAAAATAATGTTTGTTGCCCAAGTGGTGGGGATTGCTGCAAAGGTAGAGAAACTAGATATTCTTTTTTATCGAGAAAAATTCTTTTTAAATAGATGGTTGCAAGAACTGCAAGTGTGCAAATTGCAATTGTTCCAAAGATTGCGGAGCAACTTGTGGTGCCAATCAACAATCTTGTTGTGCCAAGTAGAGAGGGGGCGTTGATTTATAGTTAATTGAATGAGGGATAAATTAAGTAAATATTTTGGAAATAAAAAATAAAATATTTGGCATTATTGACATATAAAATATGTAATCTTTTGGATAAATTTTGGATTAATCTTAAATATTTTTTGTTTCATACAATTTAGTTCATTAGCCCTTTATTAACGATTTCATTTGTTTAATAAATGGAAAATAATTATTTACGTACGAACGATAAAAATATCTATCTAAAGAGATTATGTCGAAAACAGAAGAGAACAGAGCTGGTTGGCCAAAGCCATGGTGTAGACGAAGCCAAGGTAGGTATGGCCTTCCTGTGGATGAATGATCGAAATTTAGTATGTACATACATATGCGGCACACTAATAATAAGAATTATTTTTTTATTTTCAAGTTTATCCTTCATGTATTATTTTTTATTTTTTCTGTCACTTCAAATCCTAGACATGTATAAATTTTATACACAGGAATTTTAGTTACAAAATAAACCGTGAAAGAAAGAGTGAACAGGCTGAATATAGAAAAGAAATAGTACTTAGCTTTATTATAAACTCTCGCGTTGGACTATTCCCCGACAATAAACTCAAACGAATAATTTTATTGTATATATGGCAGAGTAAATATATGCAAGTTGGCGATGGATGAGTGGGAGACCTATGACTGATGGTTATGTTTAAGGCTTATTGCCTTAATCGTTTTCGTAATCAAGGTCGAGATTTCGTGAATGCTTAGTTTGCGAAAATTGTAATAGGTTTGTTATATCTTATGATGATCACTCGTCGCTATCGCATTAACCTTTTTGCCCTATCTGAATAAGAGGGGGCTTTGATTTTTTTCATCATTTTTTCATACCTTAATATATAAATAATGGTCAGTCTTTTCATAATTTCAGTCTTTTCAGCCCTCTTATTCAGATAGGGCCACTTTTTTCATTAGAAGGTAAATGTCCGGTTGACTCCTTACATGTCCGCAAGAGAATACGCACTTTTCTTTCCTTCATTAGGAAAAATACTCTCTTAAAGGAGAAATTCTCGCTCATTTTTCCTTTTATTGTTATATTGTGCCCAAAAAACTTATGAAAGGAAGGAGAGAAAATAATAAAAATTAAGTAAAGTGAAAATAAATATATTTGTTTTATAATGATCAAAAATTAATATGTAACAATTAATAATTGGGGCATGGCGTCGCTTTATAAGTATGAACTTACTTAAACATGTTTTACTTAAACATTTAATAAGATTCCAATACATACATATACTCCTTTCCTGCCCTAAAAATAATTCTAAAGAAAAATTCTGGGTCAAGGAAAAATCACAAATCTTAATAGGTGAATATTGTTTTAAATTGATCTCTTAAAACTTTTAGAAATCCCCATACCAAATTTATTTTGTGTGATTACTTATGAATAGAGCTGTGATTTTTATGCAAATGCATATTTTTTTTGCAAACATGGCATCATGTATAAAGCACAAAAAACACTGTTTTAGCCTGGTTTGAAAACTCTAGAGGGGGTTTCTATTTGCATATAATGCATATTTTTGCATATTTCAAACTTTGCTGCATAATGCATATTTTGCTGCATATTTTGAGGTTTTTGGGGAAAATAACTCGAAAATTGCTTAAAATCTTGCCAAAAAGTGAAAATTTAGTAAAAATTTAGGAAAAAATTTGTAAAAATTAAGAATTTTGTAAAAAAATTTTTTGTTCATTGGACGCGACCCAAAAATGTCCCACTTCAAAATGTCACACCGCCAAAACGCCTCATCTCAAAATGTCCAACAGAGTAAAAATACTTAATTTGTTGAACAATACATGTAAACTGGGAGTAATCTTAATAAAAATAGGTGTTTGAATGTATTTGACTAAAAAAATGTAAAATTTCTAGGTATAAATTGTATTTTTCATGCATATTTGCGTGGATATTTTGGGTTTCTTGCATATTTTCGCGCATATTTCGGCAATTTTTTATGCATATTATAGTGCATATTTCGCATTTTTTAATGCATAAAATTCACAGCTCTACTTATGAAATATAGTAAAGATACATATGTATGTATTTGTTTTTACTTTGTTATTATTTCTTTTCTCTCCATTTCATTTCATCCTCTCCTTTTCATAAGTGAGCATTTTTCTTAACGCGAAAAATGCAAAGAAAGGAAAGTGCGCATTCTCTTTGCGGAAATGTAGGGAGTCAACTGGACATTTTACCTCATTAAAAAATTGCAGCAGCAGCAGCTTCATCGGGACACGGCCAGGTAATTTCAACCGCTTGGGCACATGATTTTGTCGTTTTCCCATCCACCTCCACAGCGTGTATTTTTGTGCCCACGCTCCCTCCACGGTAGGAACCATATATAATTGGTCCCAATCCTCCAGGCGTCACTTGATATAACAAACCTATTACAGGGATGTCACAAGTTACCCGTGCCCGATACCCGTACTTTTTGTTGACCCGTAAACTTTGAAAATATGACCCGACTTTTTTCTCAACCCGTGACATCCCGATATGTACAACAACGTGCCTTTGCGTGTTGAACCCCCCTTGCCCCTCCACTCGACAACTGCTATAAGTAGTCGAGGTAAATTAATCTTTTTATATAAGGACACCAATTAAAAACATAATCTTCGATGGGTTGCAAATGAGGTGATAAATTGATTAAAAGATTTACAAGAGAATTAATAAGTCATTGAGGTTAGAGAAGGGGAAAAAAGTTGGCGCGAGTACAAAGAAAAAGATCAGACTGACCAATAACAAAAACAGAGAAAGAAAAGTTAAAATCGACACAATTATTTAAGGAAACCATGAAATTGATAAATTCAATTATTCAGACGGCCAAGAACATTAATTCTTCCTTTTTAGTGCAAGGATCAAGAAGGATTCAGAAGGAGCCTGGAGGATTCCTTGTGTATTTGTGGAGATATAAATGGATAACGAGGTTTTGGTGGCTAAACTGGATAACAAGTGATTTGACGGATTGGGAAGGATATCGCGGGACTAGGAGCGATAACGAGGATTTGGGTGGTTAAAAAGCGGATATAAAATAAAAGGGTTTGAGTGATAAAGGGAGATATAGATGGATTTAGAAGGATTAAAGAGGATTTTATAAACCGAAACCAGTCAGTTTAAGCCACCGGTTTTCGCCTGTTATTGACTTCCGGTTTTCGGTTTATTGGCCAAAAACACCGGTTTACCGTAAATTCCAAAATAAAAGTAAAAAAATATTTTTTTCAAAAAAGTCCAAATTCCAACAAAATGCATAATTTTACGCAATTTGCAATTGAATTAAATGAAGAGGAAAAGGTATTGCACCGACAGATTCGAGAAGAAGACCTGATCAAAGATTGTGTGACTTGGAGAGTTTGGGGCTGCCAATCGTTTAAAAAAGTGTTTAGAACAGGCACAAAGGGAAAGAATTAAAGAAAAGGGGAAAGGTATGAGGGAATTTTTTAGAAATAATTATTATCTACATACTACATAATACGGACAATAAATATGTATATTTAAAGATTATGAGGGATATAATACATATTAAAATTATTATGACTACATATATTATCTATCTATCACACAAGCTTTCTTCACTTTTCCTTCTCTTGCCAACCACCCTCCCATTCATTTTTTACTCTCATCCTTTTTCTTCACATCCGCATATTTACTCGGGACAGGATTGACCAATTTAGTTTTAGATTTTGCACGCAAATCGAAGTATGTACTTCCTTGCTGTCCTTCCTTTCCTCCCCCTCCTTCAGCCAGAGCCTTTTGGAGCGCTGCCAATTGTTCTGGAGTTGGTAATGTATTTGTCGTTGTTCCCCCCTCCGTTGCGTTGGCAGAATGATTGGTGACTTGCAGAGCTGTTAGAAGTTGGGCAATTAATTCTGGTGACATTTGTTGTTGCTAAATTGTAAAAAATAATTTTTAGAGAAGAAAACTATTTTTTATTTTACATTTTGTTGAGGACGAGCAACGGCAGAAGAACGATGACTAGAATTTGAAGCTGATGCCTATAAAATTTAAAAAAAAATGAGAAGAAAATTTGAAAATGTTCCTTTCACCTTTTGATGATGGGTAGATTGGCTTTGTTGTGCCAAAGCGGTCTGTCTACTCATTTCCAATAGCAACATCAACAATCTAATCTTCAAAGCCAATCGCCAGGGACGAAGGAAGAACAAAGAAAAGAAGACAATTTTAAGCATATACCAGCCGGGAATTGCGCGAAGAATAAAATCAAAGAGAGTAATAACTGCATAACAAGGCCTAAAAATTAAAAGAAAAAAATTTTTGAAGGCCGAAAGGACATTAATTTACCAATAGATTAACATATCTTCATTGGTTGCCTTCTCTTCTGGATAGAAAAATGTCAGAATGAGAGGCACACCACACAGAACAGCATTTGCAACAAAATCGGCACGTTCAGAAATTGTCAACCACAAACCAAACAGATTGACCAAAATCTTTGCCAATGCCCATTCGTCGATTGTTAGACCAGCATTCTCTTTGATTTTAGTTAGCCAACGAGCTGTGAAGTGTCTCTAAAATTTGAAAAAAATCAAAGAAAAAATATTTAAAATTTTTACATGATCAACAACCAAAGCCTCAATATGCTCCTTAGCAATAGCTAACTGTTCGTCAATTGTTCCGACAGCAAGAGGATTGGCCATTTGATCTTCGGCAGACATTTTTTGTTTTTTGTTGTTGTTGGTGGCAATAGAGTGAAGAAACTTGACAAGACAATTTACAGAGTATCCCTTCAGATTAAAGGAGGAGCTTTTCTGCTTTTATAACAAAAAATTGTACTAATCAGAAGATAAATCAGAGATAATTCACTATAAAAACACTCAAAATTCGATCAAAATCTGTTTTATTATTCCCTTGTTAAAATTCTTTATTTTCTTCTATAAATCTTCTAATTAAAAGTAAGCTTTATATTTAAATGTTTTATTAAAAATTTTTTAATTTTGTTCAATTTTAAGTTTCTGAAAAATGGATGAGCCTGTGGAAGAGCCTATGGAGGAAGAGCCCGTGGAGGGAGGGCCTGTTGTTGAAGTGTCGGCTGAGCTTGTTGAAGAACCAAAGGAGCCAGAACCAATTCCACATCAACAAAACGACTCCATGATTTGGTCATCTCGTTTAGATGTGGTTGATGAGGATACTGTTGCTCCGCCGTTGCGGAATGAGATTGAAAGTATTGGGTCTTTGACAGATAAGGTGAGAAAAACAAGTTTTTTTATGAAAAATAAAAATTTTTTTAAAGCTCAGTGACATCTCTTCATGCATCGAAAAAGAAATGGAATATCGAAAATCTGAGGGAAAATGCAAAGACTTGTAAGGACTTGAGATTTTAATTAAATACAAATATTTAATTAAAGCATTCATCGATTCCTTCGTTTGATTCGAAGTCCTGTAATGACGACTTTGACGATTCTAAACTTTTTGTTCTACCTCACAGCTGTAAGAAATAATTTTTGAAAATAAAATTTTTAAAAATTTTTTTAGATCGTTATGCTCATCATTATTATTATTTTGGTTATGGTGAATATGTCGAGAAAGGCAGAGGTGAATAATTAAAAGAGAATTTCTTTTAAACACTAATTTCCACATTTCAGTTGAAAATGTTGGAAAACCAAAAGGATGTTAGTGCGTGTTCGGTTATTTGGAGTGATTGGGGTGATTGTAGTGCTCCCTGCACTGATCGACATAAGGATAATTATAAATTGCCAACAGCTACGCGCAAAGTTGAACGTTGTTATGGATCTTGTGGGAGGGATGATGGGACTTGTATGAATAAATCATTGAGGGGATATGTGGATACGGTATATTGCAATTTACATAGTTGCCAGTTGCCTAAAGAATAAATAAATAGGTAAATATAGAGAGATTATTATGTAAATGTTGTTGTATTTAAATAAATATATTAATTGTAAATGTTAATTTTTATGTGTAAATTTTATTTGGCGGTTTTTGTTCTAAATTAATTTAATTTTTGATAAACACAATCCAGTGAGCAGTAATTCTAATTTAGGCAGGAGCTGAGAGACAAATAGAAAAATCAGTGTAAAGCATATAGTTTCCTAACAATAAGGCTGAGCAGTAGGTGGCGTGGTGTAATGGCTGGTGTAATGTTGTGTGTGTAATCAGTGGTGTAATCAGTCAGGTCTACTGAAGATGCTGATTCGCTTCCAGCTGCCAATTAACCTTTAGCACTAGCTTAAGGAGAGAAATAGCTATAGTCCAGCTGCTTTACTTCAGCTTTATTTCTGTTAACAAAAATATGTGTTTATCGATAAAAATAAAAAAAAATATTTTTCAGACAATTCGGGATTAGATTTAAAAAAAAAGGAAAAGGAAAAATAAATTCTGCCAACTCATCCTTCTCAAATAAATTTCTTTTTTTTTCCTTTTAAAAATCTAAAAATGGTAAAAAAAGTAAATGAGTGTAATCATTCATTCTTTTTTTATTGTCTGTTTTTAAAATCAGTCAAACAAAAAAGGTAAGGAATTGAATTAAAAATGAAGCTGGAAATGTTTGTTTATTTTGCTATAATATTTTTAATTATGAATGAAGCTTTAAGTTTGTTTTTTTTATTTAAATAATTTATTTTTACGGAAATTAAAATATTTTCAAAACTATCTAAATAGTTTTAAAATCACCCTCAATTTATGTCTTTTTTAATTAGGTTGGCAATTGGGCGAGGGAAATGTCTAGGAGTCTAAATAGAGAGTCCACATAGGAGCTTTTCAATTTAATGCTTCATTCATTACAAGATACGATTTCTTTAGTTCCAAAAAAGGTATCTAAAAATAAGGTTTTTGACAGCACTCCTCTCAAATATCAAAACAAAACTTTTCTCTAAATGAAAGGAACATAAAAAATTGAACAATAAAAAAATCATAATATTTTTGTAGCACTAATTTGCCACCGAAAAGAATGTACAAACGCACAAGAATGTTTGTATGGATGGGATACTTGTAACGATAAATATTGTTATTTGAGTAGATTTATTTATTTAAATTTAAGAAAAATATTTATATTTTTTAAAGTTAGAGCCAAAAACACAACAAATCCCTATCAATTTAATTTACGTAGAGGATGTATTGGGGATCCACCACTAATTAAATATTCAAATGAATTGGCATCTTTTAGTTCCCTTAATCAATGTCAAAGAATGTAAGTTTAGAAAAACGAAGATAATTTTTTAAAATAAATTTTCAAAAAATTTTTTAAAATGTTAATTTGGGGTCAAACCAAAAAAACCCAGAAGATCAGATTGTAGGTCTTTTGGGTAAATAGCGCCGCCGCTCCATAATTATGCTTGCTTTATTGCCCCTTAATCCTGCCAACTCCCCCCTAATACGTCCAAATTTACCTTTAGCCCCTTTAATTCACCCAAATCCTCCAATTATACTTCTAAAAAGTAAAAATTTCGTTGATAAAACTGTAGTAGGTCTTTTTGGAAAAAGGTCTTCTGGGCGTAGGTGAGTGAACTCGTTAATTATTTTTAAAAATTAATAAAAATTTTCTTTAACTTTTTCAGTTTATGGAAGGATATTGAATTTTTAATCAAAATTTGTGCAGATACAGATTATTGTAATTTTTGTGAAACGTGGGTAGAAGCTATTCCTTTAAAGTCTAGCTCCTTATCTTCTAAAATTTCTTTTAATTATAAAATTTTGTTTTTAATATTTTTTATTTTCTTTATAAAAATATAATTAATTTAATTCCTTTTTCTTTAGAAATATTTCTTTAAAAATATTTTTTAAATTTTATTTCTATTTAATTTATTGTTGGACACGACCAGTTTTAAAACTGGAATTTTTGAGAATTTTTGCCAAAAACTAACCGTTTTTCTGAAATTTTAAAAACCGAAAACTTCTGAAAATGAGTGATTTTATTGAAAATAACCACAAAATAAAACCGGTATTTGATTAAAATTCAAAATCGAAAATCAGGCTTTTGAAATTTGAATTAATCGAAAACTGGGGGTACCGGTTAATAAACGGTTGTGTCCAACCCTAATTTAATTGATATAAATTATTTAAATATTTTTTTCGAATAAAAATCAAAAATTTTCCAACAAAATTTTTCTTAAAGCTCCCAAAAAAATCAAAAATGAGATCCATCCATCCATACTTCTTTAAATAATTAAAAAATACTTTTTGGAGGAAATATATTTTTTAATAATCCCTTTTCTTCTTTAGTCAATTCTGGATGCCAAAAGTCAATAATTAAAACAATTCTGTCTTCAGAACATCCAACAGACGAGACAGAATGTCTGAAATAATAAATTAAAAATTAAATTTTAAAAATAAAAACAAACAAAAAAGAAGTGTTGATTATTGTTGATTTGCCAGCAGTCCAATGAAATTTCTGAAAAAAAATATTTAAATTAATTTTTTGAGGTCAATTATTTATTTAGAAATGTTAAAATTAATTTTTAAAAATTTTTTAAAATATTTTTTATTTTTTATATTTTTCAGAATATAAAGAAATTCAAAATGGACTTTTTAGCGTTCTAAAAATCATTTATTTAATGTCCTCTTCGTTTTATAAAAATAATTTTCAAAAAAACCTCATTTCCAACTTTCATAAAACAATTTTCTTTTCCAATTCCACAAGGAATTTCTAACCCAAAATGAACTCTTAATCTAACATTTGTTGTCCCAATATGTTCAGGAATTGCTGAATTTGCGGGCAACATGGAAAAATTGACGTTTCCAAAAGAACAATTATTTAATAAATAATCTGGAAAAAATGGAGTTAAATTAAAAATATTTATTTAAAAATTATTTTTATTTTTTGTTGAATATTTAATCAAAAAATATCAGAAAATTTTGTAAAATATTTTCAAAAAATATTCTAAAAAGTTTTGGAATATTCAAAAATAATTTAAAATTAAAAAAAACCTTCATCAAATTCCTTCAACAATTTAACCAATTCTGGACATTCATTACAACATTCCTTTTGCCAATTTCCATCTTTAATCAAAAAATAAGTAAACCAACTAGTTTTGGTGTGAATATTTTCATTTTTAATCCAAAGATGTCCACTTTTAAATGCCTTAAAAATATTTTATAAAAATTATTTGAAAATTAATTTAAAAAAATAAGCAGAAATGCCGATTAACTATAAGGTAAAAATGGATAAAATGTCAAAATAAAAAATGGGATAACTAGAGGACCATTTTCATTAAGGAAAAATCAAAAAAATATTTTCTAACCATTTCTTTTATTTTTTAAAATTAAAAAAACAAACCTTTTCCATTTCTTTAACAATCATTTTATAATTTTTCTCCAAAATTTTAACATTTTCGATAAATTCATTAGGCAATTCATTTTCTTTCCAAATTGGGCATTCTTTTAAATTCATTCTAAAAAATATTTCAGAATTATCTTGCAAAGCTAAATTCAAAGCATCTTCAATTCTTTTATTATTTTGCCAATTATTTGTTGATTTAAAAATTAAAAAAGCATTTAATAATTCCTTCAAAAATAAAATTTAAAATTTATTTTAAATTAAAAAAACTTTTTTGTCAAATTTATGTTCAGTTTTTGAATTAATTTAGGTTGAAAAACGTTTTTTGAGAAATTTGTGAGAGAAAATTGCCAACAAAAAGTAAAAACAAAGAGGTCCAATTGACAAGAAAATAATTAATAAAATATGTAATAATTCGTTAAATAAAAAGGAAAAATCAAAATACATTTTGCTGAAAATTAAAAAAAGTAGAATATATTTTTAAATTAACTATATAATTTCACACTTTCCGTCACGCTTTTTGCCGTTTTTTAAAAAGAAAAACAAAATTTGTTTTGACACGAAAATTTTCTTTTTAAAAAATAAGAGAGAAAAATTTGTTTTTCTCTAATTTTTCATGAAAAAATTAAGTGTAAACAAAAACAACCAGCCATCTGCCATTTAGACGCGGCAGTAACCAGCCGTCTGCCTTTTATTCGCAAGCAGTAATTTTTAAAATAAATCGCAGCCTTTTAACCGCAAACACTATTAGAGCCAAATAGGGATATTGAGGATTTTAGGATTAAAAATTATTAAAGGGTGTTTGGTGATTAATTTAATACTAAGTATTTGAAGAGATGAAGGTGAATTAGGAGAATAAAGTTAACGGTAGATTTGTAGGGGGTTAAGTAAATATCGGAGGTGAACTGTGATTCGGGAGAGTTTATGCAGAATGATGTTTGGGGGTTTGAGGATAGTAAAGAATATCGGAGATTTATGTACGTATTAAGAGGGTAAAAGATAGTGATAAAGCGGATATTGTGGATTGTGGGAAATTAAGGGAATATTGTGACTTGAGCAAATGTATGGCTGAGGATTAATAGATTTTGAGGATTAATAGGGATATCAGAGATTGGAAGAAAAAAAGAGAAAAAAAGAAGAGTTAATAGAGATATAGACCAGAGATGGGCGAAAATTTTCGTTTCGTTTTTCGTTATTTTCGCGGACGAATATAACGAATTTTCTATATTTTCGCGACGTACCCCGCTAATTAAGAGAAAAAATTTGCCTACGGCAAATAAATTGTCCAACATAGTTCTTTGATTCATAATTTTTTTAAATTATGAATCAAAATGTAGTAATTGCAAATAGATAACAGAGAATTAAGAAGGATATCAGGGAATTTTGGCAGATATTGGGAGGGAGTTCGGCGGGTATTCATATGCCGTTATTTTTTCGTTTCGTTTTTTACGCACACAGATGATTTTATTTTTTTCGCTTTCGTTTCGCTGAGGGCAAAATTCTATTTTCGCCCATCTCTGATATAGACTATTTTGGAAACTTACGAGTGAGAGTGTTAAAGAGAATATCGGTACTTTGAATTGATATCGGGGGATTTATATTAAAAACATAAGTTCTGTGAAGATATGGATTTGAGATATAAAGTGGGATATATAAGGGATCTTTTAGTTACAAACGATATATTCAGATTTAATGAAGGGATTTTGAGGATTCCGAACATTAAGACGGATATTGGGAAACTATTAATTTTTATTATTTGGGGTATAGTAATATGTATTTAGGAAATAAAAGAAAGGTATTAGTGTTTGTAAGTGACTCTGATGAGTGTCTGGGGAATATCAAAAGTTTTGTGGGCTTAATATTGATATTGAGGGATGTGGATTAAGATATGATTTTGGGGATATTAGGAAAAGAGAAGTATCAAAGAATAATATAGATATCGGGGATAAGGGTAATTAAGAATGCTTTTGAGGATTAGAGTGATACGCAACACAAAAATAAGAAAAATGAGTGAAAGCCTATGAAACCGAATCATCAGAGACTAACAATAAGGGATTAAGAAGCAAATAAGGGGAGTTATTGGAAGGATTACGGGAAATAAAGAGAAGGATTTGGTAATTAAGAGGGATATCCTGGATTTGATCTGATTAAGAGGGATATCGGGTATTTGATAAATAAAGTGATATATCGTGAGTTTGGGCGAATAAAATGTGAGGGTTAGATTAGTTTAACTTGAGGGATGTCGCGGATATATTTTAAAGATAAAAATATATATTAAAAATAAAAATATATATTAAAGGGTATCTTTAATCTTATATGATTATAAGATTAAAGAGTATTTTTGGTTACATGTATATCAAGGAATTTAGGAAGATATCGTTGCATTAGGGATAAAATTATGTATTTGGGGATATGGAAATTGAGTGATATAGGTGGATTTGGGGAAAATGGAGGGTTAAAAGATGATATCGGAGGATTTGGGAGACTAAAAGTGATATAGAGTAGTTTATATCTGGGATTTAAATGGTGATATCTGGGATTTTGAAAAATAAAGAGGAATATTTGCGTATTGGAAAATAATGAGTGATATAGGGGGTTTTGAGTATGAATAAGATGGAACAAGTGTTAATGGTGATGTCTCTGAGTTTGGAAATATCGTTTTGTATGTTTTGTGAGGATAATGGGCGATATGTATTTTGGAGAATAAAATGCGTTTTCAGATAATAGGGGATTGAGAAGAATAACAGAGGATTAAGAGTGATAACGTGATTTTGGGATATTAGGGGTTAAGAGGGATGCCAGAGGATTTAGGGACTTTTGTTAATATCTAGGTTTTGAGAGATACAGAGTGATAACTGGGAAGTATGAAAAGTGAATTCGTATGGTGATATATCACGGGATTTAGGGTGATTAAGAAGGATATCAAAGGATTTCGGGGCTAAAGGGTAATATCCGAGATTTTGGGGTGCAAAGTAAAAATATAGATGACTTGGGCCCAAAAAAATAATATCTGGTTTTTGGGGATAAATGGTAATATCTGTGTTTAGGGGGGGGTGGTTAAGAGAGATATCAGAACATTAGAGAGGGGATTAACAGGATGGTGGTTAAGAGGTATATTGCAGATTTTTGAAGATAAAGGATGATAGTTGTGATGTATGATTAAAAGATATTTTTAAAGATTAGACTCTTCCCATCAATTGATGAGAAGATTCCAGAAACGAGTGAGATGTTGGGGTTTGAGTCCGTCAAAGTGAAAGGTTGATCTAGGAAGAATTAAAAGGTGTTGAGTAGTTAACCACCCCACTTTGTTTCCCCGTTTACCGCACATTCCTAAAGGTGTGGGAGGGGTCCGCAAAATTTCTTAAAGGATTTGAAGGGGTTGGGGGCGGAGTCAATGGATTTTAGGGGACTTTCCAAAAGGATTTGGATGGGGCCCTTTGATCTTGCCGCTTTCCCGCAATCCCAAATTGTTTCCCTTTTGATCTTGCCGACAAATCCCAAATTGTTTCCCCTTTGATCTTGCCGCGTGTAAAAATCCCAAATTGTTTTCCCTTTGATCTTGCCGCTTGTTAAAATCCCAAATTGTTTCCCCTTTGATCTTTCCGCAATCCCAAATTGTTTCCCCTTTGATCTTTCCCGCAATCCCAAATTGTTTCCCCTTTGATCTTGCCGACAAATCCTCAAGGTGCGAAAATTCACACCTTTTTTTTCTTTTATCTCGCCGACAAAACCAATTTGCTCCAAAGTGTTGGGAGAGGGGTCCGCAAAACACAAGGGGATTTCCTTTGATCTTGCCGACAAAATCAGTTTGTTCAAAAGTGTCGGGGGAAGGGTCCGAGAAACAAAATTTGACAATCTTAAGGTGTTAATTTTCACACCTTTAAACACTTTGATCATCCAAGGTATGGGGGAGGGGTCCGACGAAACCAAATTACCGCACTAGGAGTGCGGTAAATCGTCAAGGTGTGAAATATCACACCTTTTTTTCCTTTGATCCTGACGACTAAATCAATTTGTTTAAGGGTGTCGGGGGAAGGGTCCGAGAAACAAAATTTGACAATCTTAAGGTGTTAATTTTCACACCTTTAAACACTTTGATCATCCAAGGTATGAAAGTTCACATCTCTAACTCTATTTTTGATGTACTTAATGTGTGAATATTGACACGTTTTTCAGTTGATTAAACTCTTAACTGGTTGAAAATACCTAATTTTATTTGTGAATATTTTGGACTTTTAATATTAAAAATTATCCCTAAACATTCTCGAACCGTGACAACTAATGAATATTACGAATCAAAACCGCTACCTGCTAAGCTACAGAGGAACATTTTTATTGCAATTTTTTGCTTTTTAAAGCTTTTAAAATATTTTTAACATGCATGCATATTAAATTTGTCAAATTTAAAAAGAGCGTCGCTTCTCTTTTTTAAAATGGCGTCGCTTCTCTTTTTTAAGATGGCGTCGCTACTCTTATAATTAATTCATCGAAAACAAATACAAAATATTTTGAGAAATGGTTTGAATAAATGAGAATATTTTCTAAATAATTTCAAAAATTAAAAAAAAAATTTTTCAAGAAAATCTTATTCAAAAAAAAATCAATTAAGGTTTTATAGCAAAATCAATCAATCAACCAATTAAGGTTTTTTAAAAATCAATTCATTAAATATTTTCGGTTTCGCTTCCTCAAACAACTTGAAATACTAAAAGCTAAATGTTTAATAGTAAAAAATTCGAAAATATCTTTTAAAAAAGTATAAACAACCAATTAAAAAAAGTTTTTTATACCAATAAAGGGATATGGACAAATAAAAGTTAAATTTTTATTAGAAAAACCTAAAAAAATTGAATATAAAAATCAAAATCAATCATTTTTTTAAATTTATTACGGAAAAAAAAATTTTTTTTGCTTTAATTCCCAAAAAGGAATACTAAAAATAAGAGTAAAAATTTAAAATTTTTTAATTCTTAAAAATAAAATTTTTAATTTTTAAAATTGATAAAAATATAAAATTTTTTAAAAAATAATAAGTTAAAGATAAATAAAATAAAAATAAAATTAAAAAATAAAAGATATTTTTGGAGATTTCCCATTCTGTCTCATTTTATGCTACCTCAAGATTATTAGACGTGAACTAAAATGTTTTTCCTCATTTTTTATGTAAAAGTGAACAAATACGGTATAAACCACCATTTTGAATATATTAGATAATTAAAACTGGTAGAGTAATTTACTACATGAGGGATTGTTGCAATAGTAATATTTTCGTTCAATTCATTTATTTGTAAACTATCGTTGTATCTTTTTATACCATAGCGGCGAAACGGTGTTAATCTATAAAATTCAAAGTCTTCAGCATTCGCTCTGGATGATTTTAATAAATGTATTGGACACTCACACCTTCCTGGTATAGGTCCTGTAACGTTAAAAGGTAGATTCAATAAATATTTTGGACATCTACAGG